GAATGAAATGAATTACACTCGATCGTAATATGAGACATTGAAATCATTATTATCCCTATGTAAGGTAAAGTAAAATATTATCTAACAAATCAATTCCAAAGCAGATACAATCTACACTCGTAAATTTCGATAGTAGCTAACGGCTGAACTGTGCCTACATGCTTTGTTGGATTAATTCAATGGGAAACGTGTTCGTACAGCGGGTATATCATCAACACGCGAGGAACACGAGTTTCGAGTCACTCGAGAAAGAAATATAGAGCACATACACTGATAAGCGGTGGATATCTTGATTATTATTGCTCGAAAAATAGTACATAGCCAAGTGAAAATTGTCCGTGAATCACGTGCAATACATTATATATTATACTCATGTAAACGTAATAAACGATAACCATCGATATTAATCACGGTTTGGATACGATAAGTCGTGGTTCTCAGCTTTAAATCATTCCCACGGTGGGGTGATTTATGAACTCGCCGCCGGTGCAGTTTATAATTGTTATACTGTTCTTAATTATGTATGATTTTGTTACGACCACGCAATAAAGTAACAGAATCTGCCCCTGGTGCGTGACGAACGCGACGATCTATGTAACTTCTCGTTTCGCTGCTGTATGCTCTTGCGAGTCGAAAAATATAAACGATCGATCTTTGATCGAATTGAAAGTTTGCCGATTGAGATTTTTTTTTTTCTTTTTTTCAAGATAGAATAACCTTTTCACTTGTAAATTCCCGATTTAACAGACGATGAAAGGCAATAAAGTGGGGAAGTGACAGATCGATATGTTGTTCGATGAGAAAATACAGTTGACTGTAATTATTAATGTAATTAAATTCATCTGTTAATGTTGTAATCAAAAAAGATTCCAATCAAGAAATAACCTAAATTGGAATCTTGTTGGTAAGCCAACCGAATTGTAACTCGTTCAAATCGACGATAACCGAAACGTAGAAAATCGAAATATAATCGATGTAATAAGCAAAGTGTCAACAAAATTGTTCGATCATGTTCGATAATCTCAAAAGTCGATTTATATTGGCTGAGTAATATCTCGTAATCCAGCTTCTGGCCCATCCGACGGCGACATTATTGTCACAATATTGACTAGCATTGCAAATCCGCACAACTTTTGCGATCCCTTCGAGCCCCCGTTTTTTATTTGCCAATTGACAACGCTTCGCCCACGAAATACCCTTACTCTCGTCTCACTTTTTCACTTTTTTTCACACTCGTCCTCTCTTTCTCTCGGATTCTCCGTGCGTTTTCTTTTTCATTTCCATCAGCATCGCTGCCACCCCCTTGTCCTCGTTTTCACGCGAAAATATCCGATTAAAACGATCGTCAAGGACGTGTTCTCTCTCTCTCTTTCTGGATCGTACAGTTCTCCTTTCGGAGAGGTTCGTGGGAAATATTTGCTGAAAAGAGAGTTTAGATTTCCAATATTCAGAGACTTGGACGATGGAAATTCGCAAGAAATCGTCACGTATTCGTCTGATATTCAAAGTTTCATGAAACCAAAAAAAACAAAAGTCGAGTTGCAAAGAGAAGTCTTCGATGGTTAAACCAAGCGAGCAGTATGTTGTAATTTTGATGTAACCATCATTGAATGAGAATTTTATTACTTGAATAATTTGAACCGCCATTTTGAATGTTCATGATGTCCCCCTTTTGGGAAGTACGAAGAAAGTAAAATGAAAACAAAAATTTAGCCTCTTGAAAATACTCTTCTCATTGCCTGTATCGAAGCAGATATTGATGAAAAGATTTAAAGAAAAAAAAAAACAAGCTCGTTAAAAATTTCCATGTTTCACTATAAAAGTTGTATTTTTATATATCCTCGTAAATAATATAGGTTACGTTGAACTGATAAAAAAAAAAAATATATGTGTATATATATATATAAACTCGTGTGCGGCTCTCGACAAATTTTTAAGGCCCAGAAGATCTAAAAAGATGTAAAAAAGGCACCTCGTGCATTAAAACTGATCTCTCAAAATCCCTCAATGTCCCTGCCGTTGGCAAATTTCTCTCCTCGAAAATGTTGGGCGTTCAATGACGATTTCTAACATTTTCCGAGGAGAGAAGTCGACACGCGTAAAAAACGTCCCGGGGAATGGAACGAAAGACTTGAAAAGGCTTCTAGAAACGAGTCTAGATTTATTGTTTTATGATTTTGTTTGTAGAAAAATTACGACAGTTTAAGCATCTATATCCCGAATAAAGGTTTAAGGCTACCGATATTGGGATAGGAATCACTGCAGCACGAGCAGCAGCTAAAAGCTCGTGAATATAATGACCAGAAGAAGATTTTCGGTAGTAATCGAGCTTATTTTCTAGCAGTTTGCGCAATACAGCACAACATTCTCTCCGTCGAATGACGAATGACACCCTGACGCGACAAAAGGTATTTTGTCGATGGTCAGGCACTCTGCCATCACATTGTGAAGTGGCGTAGTTAACTTTTTCTAAAGATCTTCACGGTTTTATTAAACCCTGTTGTTCGGGACACTAGTAGTCACAGCAGCTGTAACAAATGACACAGTTACTCGGTTAGTTTACGAACTCATAAGACGTGTAAACAAGCAACGGTGTCGCAACAATGACGAATCATCACCGAGGAAATGGCTCGATGCAACGAAAAAAGAGATGAACCTTATCTTCGTGCTACTCGTGTTGCACGAGACAAGGAAGATTTTATCATTGCTAGAGAATTCGTAACAGCTTTTCCACCGACGTGACAAAGAATTCGATGCTTAATCGAGGTAATCGAAAGTAGATGTAAAAATATGAAATCAATCTACACGTGTAATTTTTATATTCATGGCGAGAGATTTCGAGGGCGGGGGAAAAAAAAATATATTACAAAATTCGATACGTACAATCACTTGGGAAAATATTATTCTAAAATCTTATTGATCTTGCAAAAGTAAAAAGAAACAAATACGTCCGTTCATGGCAATGAATACAATAATAAATTTTTAAATTTTGCTTCAAACGCTTCAGA